GCAAAGAAGCAGGTGAGCGGGGACGGACTCTGGGACACGGCGGGCTTGGAGGGCGGCTCCAGGCAAGGCGGGCTATTGCACCAGAGTCCCTACTCCCCAGATTGTGCTTTGCGCCTGGAGCGCTGGCGCTTCACCGGGGCACCGGGTTCCCACGGGCGTCTGTTTGGACGAGCTCTTGTGACGGCCGGCTTTGGAGGCCCGAGTCCGGGGTTCCGTGCCTCCTGCCAGGGCCCACCCCCGCGAAGACCGCGAGGCAGTTGCGTGAGTGCGGAGCCAACGGTGCCTCACAAACTCCCGGAGGGAGGTGGAAACAATGAGAGCCGCTGGTGCTGGGCGCTGCTGTCTCGACCATTCATTCCTTACAACAGCCCATTGAGGTCGCTTCAGATCTCCGTTTACCAGATGGGGAAACTGAGGTCAGGGGGCTGGAAAGTGACAGAACCAGGATTTGTGCCCGCATCTGTCAAACTCCAGATCCCTCACACTTAACCACTCTGCTACCAGGGGCAGCCAGATCTAGTGACAAGTCTACTCCTTCTCTTCCTCCTTACTTCTTCATCTGGAGCTGTTAAACCCGTAATCTGCTGGAAAGAAATTTTCAGATCCTTCCTTACAGTACTAGGATCATGGTGGACCTTGAGGACTGGGGTGCTGCAGACCTGAATTCAAGCTCAGATTTGCAAATAACCTGCTGCATGATGCCTGTTTTCAATGTTTTTTCATTTGATTTATTCAGCAAGCTTTAAGATGCCTCTTAGCCTGCATGTTCTAGGAATCTTAGAAAAGGTAGCCTTTCCTGGCTCCAAATGTCTTAAGCCCAGCAGAGAGTGGGTCTTCAAAAACCCTAAGACCAGGCTGCGTTCTCATTCTTTTATATCTTTTACTTACTTTTGCAGTGCTGGGGAATGAATGCAGGGTCTTTGTACTGAATTAACATCTCTAACTCTTTTTTTTTTTTTTTTTTTTTTTTTTGAGCCCGTCTAAGTCACTGAGTTGCCCAGACTGGGCTCAAATTTATGGTCTTCCTTCCTCAGCTTTTTTAGAGCACTAGGATTACAGGCATCCACCAGGCACCATCACAGCTTCATTCCCTAATCCTGTATCTAGCACTGCTTCAGGAGGACAGGCACAAAGTAGATATTCAGGAAATACAGCTTATGGAACAGGCAGCCTATCAGTCCCTTTTCAGAACTACCTGATAGCTGATGTCCTGGGGCTCTGGATTTCTCAAGCTGGCCCTTCTACCTAGCTGGCCCTCCCTCCTGCCTGCCTGCCTGCTCTCCAGTTAGTGCAGAGTCTGCCAAACTTGGCACCAGCTCCCCACCCTCTGTGCCAAGAGCTCAGCCTCTGGAATCTCAGTGGAGCGCAGCCTGGAAGCCTTGAGCCCTGCAGATCTTCCTCCACCCCTTCTAGTGGCTGCTGTCAGGGACCAAGTTAAGTCACTTCCACGTTAGGGATGTTGCCCCTCACAATAAACCTTAAAAGCTGTCCTTCAATATCCTTTCTTCCATGAAGCTGTCCTTGACTCCCGGAGATACAGATTCCTCCCACAGCACCTGGGCCCCTTTCTACTCTTGCGTCATGTGTCAGCCCACAGGATTCTTTCCTGGGTATTTCATAAGATGCATAATCCTATGCCTGGAGATCTCATTGCAGCCCAGCCCTGCTCGGTACTGAAAAGTAGCTACAGGTTTAATGTATGGCTACTTGGTGCCAGACCCGTAACCCATCCCTATCTCTGATCTTCTCCACAGCCTTGCAAATTTGATAGTATCAACCCATTTCATAGATTATAAAATGAAGGCTCTGAAAAGGTCACTAGCCTCACCCAAAGTCACAAGCAGAGCAGACAAAACCCACGACCAACCCTGAAACGTGGTGCTTTCTATACCACCCTGTACTGCTTGCCAGCAAAGCTAACCTGTTCTAATGTGTTGAGCAGCTATGCTGGACCTCATGGTCGCTTTTCCTTGTAAGGCTGCAATGTAAAATTTGAAGTGAGTTTTACAAGCTCCTTTAATTTGGAAGAGGTGATCTCCCAGCATGTGGAAATGTGGAGTTCTCAGAAAGCAAGACCCTCGCCTCAATTTGGCCCTGGAAAACAGAGATGCAACTTTGGGCCCTTTCCTACTGCACAAGTGTTTACTAAGTGCCTGTTGTAACCCACTGACTCTGGTAAAGGTCACAGCGAACTGGGTTGGAAGCCAGGAGCCTCAGGCTCAGTTCCTTGCTTTGGACCTCACTCACTGTGTAATGTTGCTAAGTCCCTTGGCCTCTCAGGTACCCCACTGTCCACATTAAGAGGTAAGAGATTACATAGGATGGATGATTTCAGCTTTTTAATTCTTCTAGCACTGACACAGTCAAATCTCAATCAAATTTTGCAATCAAGTCTCTTTCTGACTCCCAAAACAACAAACCATGTCAAAGTGGAACTGCTCTCAGGAGCCCCACACACTTTTACCTCCATACCTCTCCCAGACTGCTGAGGAAAACTTCGATAGCCTATTGCAAGGTGACCTGCCAGTTGCTTGTGATAGAAAATAATAGTTGCTCCCTCAGCTGCCTCAGGGAGACCAGGAATTGAGGCCAGTGGAATGCAGCTAAGGATTCCAGAAGCCAGAGGCCTGTTACAAAGATTGTCCTTGGGGAGATGAATCAGACATGTGGGCCTGGCTTCAGAATTTGCCAGCTCTACAGAATGACCCTGAGGAAGTCACATAACCTTCTGAGCCTCCATTTCCTGATCACTGAAAGTTAGGACAATTTAAGTACCTGACTCCTAATAAACTCCATATGTTTTTCTGTTTCTTCTCTCTCTCCAGTACCCAAAGCACGGGGTATAGATACCTACTGAATCACATGTTTACCAGTAATATGGAGAACAATACGTAAAACCCTGCATTTGGAGTCTAGAACAAATTGTAATTCCGGCTCAGTCACTAGTCTGTGGTCTTAGGCAAGTTACTTAACCCCTCTTAGCTTAGTTAACTCCTGGCAGATATGAAAGCAGAATCTTGCACAAAATGGGCAGACAGGACCTCCTATCTGCCAAGTGATGGGGAGCTGCGACGTCTCTGGGAGGCCTGGCCCACCCAGGGGTGTGGGGATAGGGTGGGTCTCTCTGTGGCTCCTGATAATCCAAAGCCCGCCAAGCAGGAAGGTGGGATAAGATGGGCCCCGGAGCTGGGTGGAAGGAAACCAAAGGAGGCCAGAGAGAGGACAGAAAGGCAGCACCAGCAAACTGAATGAAGGATCCCCAGGGTTCTAGTCCTGCTGTTTTACTTTCTAACATGCTGTGTGACCGATAAGTCCCTGCTCCCTCTGGGCCTTAAGGTCTATTTGTACAAGGAGCAATTAATTGCACTTGAGCCTGCCAGCCCTCGCTTTCTGTGGCTCCTTTTCTCCTCTTCCTACTTGGCTACTAAGTGTTCCACCAGGCACCTGCAAAAGGAAATGTCTGAAGGGAAGCGCTTGCCTCTTCTCCAGGGTGTTTCCCACCGCCCTCTTCCTGCCCTGTCCCCATCTCTGCTGTGGAGACTCTTGGCTGCTTTGAGGCGGCCTTTCCTTTACCACCCCCTCGTCTCCTCCTCCCCGCAGCCGCTGTGCTCTTCTGCTTCCGGTCTGCTCTGCTCAGTCACAAGATCTGTCTTCCTAAAGCCAGACTTTGAGCAGGCTGCGCTGTGCTCCAAAACTTCCCTGGCCTCAGTCCCCTGTTTGTCCCTTACCGTCCATCGACCATGTGCCTCCATTGCCTCCTCTGGTCCTTGGCACAGCCCAGAGCCATCCTCTGGCCCCTTTCTTCCCTTTCTGAGGAAACACTGACCTTTGGCCTTGCCAGGTCGAACCCATGCATCGTGCAAGACCAAACTCACGCCCTGTCTTCAACAAGCCCCTCCTGCCGTCCTAATGCACACTGGAACCTTGGCTCGTATGTGGCTGGTTCCTCTGCTCTGAGGTGCACTGTCACCGTCTCAGAGGCTTGACGTGTCAAGTTGAGGCAGTGAAAGTGCCTAGTATGGCCTTCGCACAAGAGGTACCAAGAAACATGTGAATTCCCTACTTCCTTATGTCTTGTATCACTTATAGCTGGGTGTGATGGTGCATGCTTGTAAGCCCAGCCCTTAGGAGGCTGAGGCAGGAGGATTGCAGTCTGGGCTACATCATGAGTTCAAAGCCAGCCTGAATTACATAGCAAAACTGTCTCAAAAAAGAAAAGCATCACTTATTTGGCATGTAGGGCTTATTGTCTTTTACTTCATATAATTAAATATTTACTGTGTGCCGGAGTCCACATGTGGGCAGAGTGAGGTGGGGAGCCAAAGATGAACTCATCCCAAACCCTGCCCTGTGGACTCCTCTCCTGGCAAGAGAGAGATAAGACAGTCCACAGAGACCTGCTGTGTAAGAGATTGCAACGTGTGGGCAAGCAGACAGCCTCAGTGGGAAAGGGAAGCAGAAACTTGTAGACCTGGCGTGGGAGGCTTTGGAGAGAGCCTAGCCTGCTGGGTGAAGGACAAGGGGCCACCACAGAGCAGCAGGGCGAAGCTCTGTGGGGCTGCAGAAGAGCTTTCGTGGCTCCGGGGGAAGGGTGCCTGGGTGTCCCTCTGGCTGGCATCCACGTGCTGTTTTATCCTGTTGGAGTGTGTGGTGCCTGATGGGAAATCCGTGCACCCAAGTGCTCTACGCTCCGGGTAGACTTGTTGGGAGTTTTCCTTCCGCTCATCTGGACTTTTGTCATAGAATAAACATAGTTAAATGTGACGAGGTCAGCACTTATCCAGGTGTGCATAGAGAAGGAAGGATTGGTTCTTTTGTTTCTGGTCAGTCCACTGAGTCTTTGATAAAATTTGATGAAAATAATTATTAGAAAATTGTCTTTTTCCCTCATTATGAGGATCAAACACGGGCTCTCTACCACTGAGCTACATTTCCAGCACCTTCCTTCTTCCTTCCTTTCTTTCTTTTTCTTTTCTTTGGCGGGGGGTAGAAGGGATTGAACTCAGGACCTTGTGCTTGTGAGCCTGGCGGCAGTACCACCTAGTTTAAATCCCTGGCCTCTCTTTCTTTCTTGAGGTAGGGTCTCACTAAGTTGTCCAGACTGCCCTTGGATTTGTGGTGCTCCTGTCTGAGCCTCCCAAATGATGAGATTACAGGCATGTATTATCATACATATCCCAGCATCATATTTTCAAATGGCTGTCATAGCCACTTGTGGTGGCGCACACCTGTAATCCCCGCATTTGGGAGGCTGAGACAGGAGGAGCGCCATGAATTTGAGGCCAGTCTGAGCTACATGGTGAGTTTAAGACCAGCCTGAACTACATAGCGAGACCCTGTCTCAAAACAAATAAGCCCCCAGGGATTTAGCTTAGTGGCACCACAAGGTTCTGAGTTCAGTTCCCAGTACTGGGTGGGTGGGGGACCCAAAAATAAGTAAAATTGTAAAATAAAAATAGCAGTCATAAAAATCTGGATGTTGTGGTGCATACCTGTAATCCCAGTACTCTGGAAGACTGAGGCGGGAGCATCACAACTTCAAGTCTAGCTTGTGCAACTTCGTGACTGAAACCCTGTTGTGAGACAAAACAATTTTAAAGGGTTAGAGATGTAGCTCAGCGTGAAGCCCCTGGTTCAATCCAGTAAAATAAATCCATAAAGTAAAAGGACAGTCATCCAAACCACAAGCCCAAATGTTATCTTATTAGATTCAAATTGTGAAGAAGCTTCTGAAAACACCCTTGCATTTCTCTTCTCACCTGGTCGCAGCCAGCAGGATGAACCCCAGGTTGGGGGGCACCTGGGGTAGCTGTCTTCCAGTTGTGACCATCTCTGGGGACAAGGACCATGTCTCGTCTTCTCCTGTCCCCCTGTAGAGCTAAGCACACAGCAGATGCCTCAGAAACCTATCTTCAGCCAGCAGGCTGTCTCAAGCCCCGCCATGCAGCCCCAGTCTGTTCTGCACAGCGGCTACTTCCACCCTCTGCTTCGGACCTGGCAGGCTGCCGCCACCACCCTCAATGCCTCCAACCTCATCTACCCCATCTTTGTCACGTGAGTCCCCCCGGAATGGGCCAGGGCTGTAATGTGCCGGGTGAGGGAGGGGTGTGCCTGGAGCAGCTTCAGTATTGCTAGGGGATGAGGATTACATTCGGCTATCACCTGGAAACTCCAGGTATTGGCCTCCTGGTTAAGGATGGCAGTCTTAGGAACAGTGAGACGACCTCAGTCATGCAATCTGTAAACTACAAAGAATTGCTCTTATCTGACACTCTGAGCTTTTTCGATAAAGCACCAGCAGAAGCCATATCCCTGAATCCCAGCACTCAGGAGGCTGAGGCAGGAGGATCGCTGTGAGTTCGAGACCAGCCTGGGCTACATAGTGAGTTCCAGGTCAGTCTCAACTCCATAGTGAGACCCTGTCTCAAAACAAACTAACAAACAAAAAAGAATGATCGTGAGTACTGTATACTCACTTGGCTGCTACGCGAAGCTCCTATACAACATTATCTCATTCAGTCAGGCAGCATTCGTATGAGGAAGAAGTAGATATTGTCCCCTAGAACATCAGCTTCATGAAGGCAGGGATAATGTGCCATCTGTACCTAGACATTACCTGGCACATAAGTCTCAGTAACTTTTTGTTGAATGAATGAACCCATCAGAGGTCCAGGTAAAGGGTCTGGTGCCCAGAGAGATAATCCAGAGCCACCATTGAGAAAGTACCTTGAGTAGGAAGCCAGGACCTGTAGACTTCAGAGTTCAAGTTCTTAACTCCTTACCTTCTCCCTGTGGTTACTGTTGTTTTAATGTAGTTGCTCTCATTGTCACTGTTACTCTTGTTCCTGTTACTATTTCAGGCCCTGGGCTTGGCCAGGCAAGGGAGCCAGACATTCGATCCCATCCCCCTCCTACCCTCTCCACTCCCATATTCCTTCCCAGCCTCCCAGCCATCCCTCACAGTCACCCCTTCACCAGCCCTTCCCACAGCCATCAGTGCCCGCCCCCCTACTCTTGCAGGGATGTTCCTGATGATGTCCAGCCCATCGCCAGCCTCCCAGGAGTGGCCAGGTAGGAGGTGCGGAGGGGAGGGCAAGGGGTTAGAGGAGAGAGAGATTTTGCAGGTGGAAATGGAAGGTCTGGAGAGGCGAACTTCAACTCAGTAGAGAGAAGGGTGTCCCGGGGACCAAAGCTGTTGCCCTGCAGAGGAGGCAGCCTCATGAAGTAACAAGCGCCCGTCACTAGAGTGCCCTTGCAGATGGGAGCTGGACTAGAGCTGGAATTCAGGAGGAGGAGCCTGCCACAGCCACTCCATAGCCCTGCTGCTTGTGGCCTCGGCTTCCCACCTGTTTGGTGGATGCCTTCGCTTCCCTGCCCCCACACTGTGGCACTTGTACCCTCCTGGTGCCACATGCAGCTTGGCTCTTAGCAGAAGCACACTGGAGGGACCAGAGAGTCTGCCTTCCTTCAGCCCCATTCCTTGTCCCCTCCCAGGTACGGTGTGAACCGGCTGGAAGAGATGCTGAGGCCTCTGGTAGAAGACGGCCTACGTTGTGTCCTCATCTTTGGGGTCCCCAGCAGAGTTCCCAAGGTGAAGAATCACAGGAAGCTTAAGAAGAGCGGCTGGGAAAGGGTGGACCAAGGTTCCACACTGACCATGTCCTTATTCCCACCTTGTGCTGGCCCTGGGGCCGTGCCAAAATGGCCATAGTCTTTATTCCTAAGACAGTACCTATGTAGTATCAGGAAAGTACATAGGCTGAGATACCCTGACTGAGTAAGCCGGTCCTCTTTCTGCAAATGGGGATGATCCTCTGCACTCTCTCATCCAGGGGCTGCAACGGTGATAAAAGGAGGGGGCGGGGGCTACACTCTGCAATGGCAGCCACCATGCCTTCCCCAAGACTCACGTAACAGGCACACCGCTTTGTCCTCCTTTCCCGGCCCCTAGGATGAGTGGGGTTCTGCAGCTGACTCTGAGGAATCCCCAGCTATTGAGGCCATTCATCTGTTGAGGAAGACTTTCCCCAACCTTCTGGTGGCCTGTGACGTCTGCTTATGCCCCTACACCTCCCATGGTCACTGTGGTGAGATCTGTCCCTCCTGCCAACCCTGCTGCCACCCACACCCACTGCCTGTTCTCCCCGGGGGCCACCAGGCAGAGCCCAAGAAGCTCCCTGACACCCAGCCATCTTGCTTCGCAGGGCTCTTGGGTGAGAATGGGGCATTCCGGGCTGAGGAGAGCCGCCAGCGGCTGGCAGAGGTGGCACTGGCCTATGCCAAGGCTGGTGAGTGAGTCCCCGGCACACATGGGCGTCTCTGGGTCAAAGAGGTGATAGAATGGGTGGTAGGAGGGTCCCAGAGTTCTGAAGGCCCCCCTCTGCCCCTCAGGATGTCAGGTAGTAGCCCCGTCGGACATGATGGATGGACGCGTGGGAGCCATCAAGGAAGCTCTTATGGCACATGGACTTGGCAACAGGGTATGGGTGGGGAGTGCAGGGAGGGATGTGGGGCGGGGAGGAGAGAGCTTGGAACATCCCTGTCCCCATAAGTGTCAAGAACTGGAGAACTGAGGATAGTGCTAGATGAGGCCTTTGGGACCCATCTCAACCTCTGCACCTCAGATGAAGTCGAGGCCAAATGCTCCAGCGACACTGGGGTATAGGCACTCTGTTTCTTTCCCCTTTCCACATCAGCCTGTGACTGACCTTCCTTGTTTCCCCATAGGTATCAGTGATGAGCTATAGTGCCAAATTTGCTTCCTGTTTCTATGGGCCTTTCCGGTACGTGGGACTGGGCAAGGGTCTGCTGTTAAATCCTAGGTCCATTAGCCCAAAGCTGGAGCCCACTCTGAGACTCTGCTTCACAGGGATGCAGCCCAGTCAAGCCCAGCCTTTGGAGACCGCCGCTGCTACCAGCTGCCCCCCGGAGCCCGGGGCCTGGCCCTCCGTGCAGTGGTGAGTGACCAGGGCCTGAGCCCCGCAGCCCACACTTCTGCCCCCCACCTTCCGGGTGCTGCCCACACTTTACACACATCCTTTAGGACCGGGATGTACAGGAGGGAGCTGACATGCTGATGGTGAAGCCAGGAATGCCCTACCTGGACATTGTACGGGAGGTGAAGGACAAGGTGAGCACAGAGAGAGACAAGGGGCTCAGAGAGCTGGGAGAGTTTATCTGAGGCTGCTGGACCTTGGGTTGTAGGACTCTGGAAACTCAGTGTTTGAAGCAGTCTGTCTGCAACTAGGAGCTCTCCACTCCTGGCCCAAGCCTGCCTTGGAGGCCATTGCTTGCAGGAGCCTTCAAACAGCCCTGGGTGAACAGTTCTAGATCAGGGTTGGCTACCAGCAGCGGTGACTCTGGATGACTCACAATAGTCACCGATTGGGCAGGGAGAAGTGGGTACTCACGGTGCACACCCACCTTCCCTTGCAACCTCTGTGCCCATCACTGCCCCCTGCAGTACCGCGAGCTCCCCCTTGCTGTGTACCACGTGTCTGGAGAATTTGCCATGTTTTGGCACGGAGCCCAGGCCGGGGCATTTGATCTCAAGGCTGCTGTGCTGGAAGCCATGACCGCCTTCCGCAGAGCAGGTAAGCAGATGGGTGGGGTTGTCACCTGCGCCACAGGGACTGAGGTGTACTCTGCCCAGATAAGAAAACAAAGTCACAAGACAGCCTGAACCTGGTATCTAGACAGATACAGAATGAGGAAGGAATTTGGAAGGACAGAACTTGGAAGAGCAACAATTACTTTTTGGTTGTGAGAATTTAAGCCAGCCACTTCTCTCAACCTGAGGGTCGAGGTCTTATGCGCAATTGCGTATGCTGTCACCATAGATGGGAGGTTTGGTTAGCATAGCACAACGTCCTGGTCAGCAGGGTGGGCTGCAGCCTTGGGCTACCGAGCCCAATTTAACAGCAGGCCCCTGCCCATCCCCACTTACTGGAAAGGCCCACAGGGAAGCAAATCATTGGTATCAGTGGTAGCTATGGGAAGACAGTGGGGGTCTAAGGCTCCAGCAGCATTTCCAGATGCTCCAGGCTGATAGGGCAGGGAGAGAAAAGACTTTAGATAGGAAGCTGAGTGCCTGTATTAGACTTCGCCATACCAGCATGAGAAGGGAATGGGCAGTTTCCTGTTTCCCTACTGGGCATTTCATACATTGGCAAGCCGAGGCCTAGAAAGAGAGAATTACTTACGCAAGGTCCAGAGCTGCAACCCCACAGGCTGTGCCTCTCCACAGTGGCCTTCCCTTCCTGGCCTCTACTCCCAGAAGGTATAGCCATCAGCTGACACCCTCCTGTGCCCTGCTCCCCGCTTCTTCCCAACACAGGTGCCGACGTCATCATCACCTACTACACGCCTCAGCTGCTGAAGTGGCTGAAGGAGGAATGACAGAGAGAGAGATACCCAAGAACCAGAACTTGAGAAAGCTCCCAGGGCCTTGACAGAGTGAAAACCAAAGTAAATACTGCTGTTAGAACTGTGCACTGCGCCCTCTTCCTGCTCCCATGCTGGTGGGGACCCAGTGCCCACCAAACCTGGCTGGTTTCTGCTACCGTGCTCATCTCCCACTTGCAGCCACTTCCTCGAGAGCTCCCCAGGCTTCCCTGTGACTGGCCCTGCTCAGCCATGAGGCCTCTTCACCCCTGGCTCTCTCTGGTGTGTTTTCAGCTTGGCAGCTATTAAGAGTCCCCGTGCAGGCTTGATGGGGCCTGGAGAGGTGCTTGGAGGATTGGGCAAGAGGAGAGTAGTTGACTATGGATCCTAAGAAGCTTTGGGAAGCCTGGGACCTCTAGTAGCAGTATTAGGTGCAGGTTTGAGGCCTAGCTTGATGACCCTGGTTTAGAGTTGAGGTGTGCCACAGTTCCTTGGGAAACTGTTTTCCCCACTGGCCAGTGATCCCAGGCTGCCTGAGATTTCCTGTTTTTCTTTGAGCCAAGATCCAGAGAAGAATTAATGAGGATCAAAATCCAGGAGGTCTGGGGATTTAGCTTAGCAGCACTGCACGTGCCTTGCAAGTGCAAGGTCCTGAGTTCATTCCCCGGTACCAAAAAAAAAAAAAAAAAAAAATTCAGGAACAAAGAAATCCCTGATGGCTGGAGATGCCACCTCCAAAAAGCACCCCCCCACACACACACAGTACAGGAGACTGAACCCAGGGATTTTGCACTGATCTGCATCCTCAGCCATTTTTAAATTTTTATTCTGAGACAGGTCTGAGAGTCGCTAAATTGTCCAGGCTTGGCTCAAACTTCAGTTTTATAATCTTTGCTTCAGCCTCACAGTGTGCTGACATGTGCCACCATGCCTGGCTCCCCCCACCTCTTTTTTTTTTTTTTTTTTTGGTACTAAGGTTTAAGCCCAGGGGCTTGTGCATAGAAGGCAAGCTCCCCACCACTGAGCCACATTCCAACCCTTTTTAAAATTTTATTTTGAGGCAGTCTTGCTAAGTTGCCCAGGCTGGCCTCGAACTCATAATCCCTTTTCCTCAACTTCCCAAATACTGTAGCTAGGATTATAGGCATGAGCCACCACCCTGGCCAAAAAGGCTTTTTATTCACAAGATATTTCTGGAGAACCTCTTCTCTGTGTCCAGGTGCATTCTGGGTGCTGGGGATACAGTAGGACAGGCCATAACTTGTCACTTTATTGAATGTATACAAAGAGAAGGGGTGAGGCAGATAAAACAGACATAGCACTGACAATCAGGTGTGATGGTGCACGTCTGTAATCTCAGCACTCGGGAGGCTGAGGCAGGAGAACTGCCACAAGTTCAGGGCCAGCCTGCACTACATAGTCAGTTCAAGGAGGTGAGACCCTGACTCAAAGAAAGATAAATAAAAAGCAATTACAGAGCCAGGTGTGGTGGTACACGCCTGTAATCTCAGCACCTGGGAGGCTGAGGCAGGAGGATTGCTGTGAGTTCGAGACCAGCCTGGGCTACATAGTTCTAGTCTCAACCACATAGTGAGACCCTGTCTCAAACCCCCCCCCCAAAAAAAGAAAAAGGCAGTTACAAATTCTGTTAGTGCATGAAGAAAAGAGAGGGTCTGAGACAGTAACGGGAGGGGCCTCTTGAGAGCACGGTTGGGAAACCCTTCCTGAGGCTGAGACCTGAGAGGTACAAAGAAAGATCCTGACAAGTCAAAGCCACAGGACCACATGACGATGTATGCAAAGACCTTGTGGTGGGAGAAGCTGGGCAGGGCTATGGGAACAGGTGAGAAAGAGGAAGGCAGGCAACAGGACTGGAGGTTGGAAAGATCAGATTCCACATGTAGTAGGAAACTTAAGTGTTATTTTGCATCTGATCTGATGGGCAGTGATCTAAAAGCTTTTTGTTTGGGGTGGGAGGGAGTTGGGCTTTTTTGTTGTTGTGTTTTGTCTTTGTGGTCCTCAGACTTGAAACCAGCACATCGTACATGATAGGCTAGTGCTCTACCACTGAGCCATCCCCCAGCCCTTCAGGCAATATTCTAGGGACAGAATTAGCAGGTTTTGCTAATGCTTTAAAACCCCGTGGAAAATAAAGGAACAAGAGGAAGCAGGAATGCCTTCGTGAGTTTCTGGCTGAAGCAAGTGCGTGGATGGTTTCAGTCATCCTGAAACATGCATATGTTTTCCCATAGTGAAAGGTAAGCCTCAGTCCACTAAGGAGGAGGCCAGGTCTGCAAAGGGACAGGAAGCTGCCACTGTAGGGGAAAAGCAAGTTCACTTTAGGACTCTAATGCAATACAATCTTTTTGTGTTTGTTTGTTTGTTTTTTGAGACAGCGTCTCTATGTAGTTTTGTCCACTAAGGAGGAGGCCAGGTCTGCAAAGGGACAGGAAGCTGCCACTGTAGGGGAAAAGCAAGTTCACTTTAGGACTCTAATGCAATACAATCTTTTTGTGTTTGTTTGTTTGTTTTTTGAGACAGCGTCTCACTATGTAGTTGAGACTGACCTGGAACTCACTATGTAGCCCAGGCTGTTCTCAAACTCACAGCGATCCTCCTGCCTCAGCCTCCCAAGTACTGGGATTACAGGTGTGCGCCACCACGCCCAGCTACAATCCATTTTTAAACACAATTTAGAATTATAAACTCCTAGCAGTTTCTAAAGTCACATCAGTCCCTCCCAACTCTTAGTGGCTCTCTTACTTACTTTCTCATTACCTGACACCCACAGCCTAAAGGAGGAAAAGTTTATTATTTTGGTTCATAGTTTGTAGCGGTTTCAGTCCATGGTTCAGTGGCTCCAAAGTAGGTCAACAGGGCCGGGGGTTGTAGCTCAGTGGTTCTGTGCCTGCCTGATAAGTGCAAGGTCCTGAGTTCAATCCCCAGTACCAAAAACAAAAAAGTAAAACAAAGTAGTGCATCATGACAGAGGAGAAACAGCTCATGTCATGGTGGCAAAAAGCAGCGAGATCAAAGGAGGAGGTAAAGATATGCCTCCAGTGACCACCTCCGTCCAGGCTCTACCTTCCAGTAGCACATTTAGCTATAATCTCAACAGTGGGCTGATCCCCTAGTGAGTGTCACCTCCCAAAAGCCCCACATATGAGTTCATGAGGTTTTGGAGCAACATCCAGATATAAACAACATTTCAACACTGGACCCCAAAAGACTGGCATATCCCTTTGTGCAAAATGCATTTAGTCCATCTCTTAAAAGATGCCAAAGTCCTGAGGGTTTCAGCATTGCTGAAAAATCCAAGTCAGAAAGTGGTGAGATAAACAAGACAGATCCCTCAGGGCAAACATTAAATCCTGTAGTTCCACGTTCAGCACCCAAGGCAGGATGTGGTGAGATGTAAGTTCCAAAAGGCTTGGGCAGCCCTGCCATAAGCATTGCCAGTGCTTATTGCTTATGGCCATCATGGTTTCTCTCAGGCTGTCTTTGCTTACTGCTTGCAACTTTCTCTTTTGGTGGTTTTATTTTATTTATTTTGGTACCAGGGATCAAACTCAGGACCTTGTGCTCACCGAGGAAGTGCTATGCTGCTTAGCTAAATCTCCAGCACTTTTTTTTTAGACAGGGTCTTAAAAGTAGTCCAGGCTGTTCTTGAACTCACTGTGTATCCCAGGCTGGCCTCAAACTTGCAGTGATCCTCCTGCCTCAGCTTCCTGAGGGCTGAGATTGCAGGTATACACCACCATGCCTGGCTAAGCAACATAAAGTCAATGTTCCCATTGGCCCAGACCCACTAGGATATCCTGTAGCCATTGATTGAAGTTTGAGATCCCTGCCAGCTGCAAATCCTGCTCTCAGTACCTCCTCAGGTGCAGGGGCTGCTGAAGACCTTGTACAGCTGGTCAGCATTGGTGGCTACTGCCTGGGCATCCCAAACACCCACCAGCCTTCCTGACCCCACAACGACAGGCATGTAAAACCAACACATAGATGGCATCATGGTCTGAGCCAGCAGACCCTTCTGTACCTACTGAGTGCACAGGCAGGCCTTGGAACGCCTGGGTGGCTGAGCATGGTGAAATGTATCCCAGGAAACCAGTTTCCTAGGTGGCTTTCTGAAGGCCTTGATAGTGGCACTAATATTTCAGGGATGCAATACTGTTTTGATTTGTTTTCCAACAGTAACCAGCAGTCAACCCTAATGGCTTCCATTTGACCTTTCCAACCACTATAGGGAACAAATGTGAGTATTCTGTCAAAAGCAAGTGTAGCTATCTCAATTATGGATTCTGGAACTGGGGAAATAACTACAGGATGGAGATAGGGGACCTGCCAAATCCCCTGTAAGTTGGACCTTTGCTAAAACTCCATTGATCACCTGACCTTCATAGGCCCCTCCTCTTACTGGAGGGTCCTGTCTGACCTTAAAACTTTTAAATTATTCAGCTGTCCTTTGCCCTTGATTCTCAAGGTAGAGCTCACCAAAAGCCCCCAACAGTACTCATGCCATTGCCTCAACATTAGACTGTCTTGAGATTTTCTCAACCAGATTTATTAGTCTGATGCTTTTATTCTCAGGCTCCCTTGAAGTCTCAAAAGCAGAACAAAATGCAGACAAATTTTCTTCAAGAGTGTAAAATAAAGGGTCCAAAGTCCAATAGCCAATGGAGTCCTTGTTCCCAACTTAAATCTCTTGACCCTGGTCTTTTTAAAAAAAATGTCTCCTTTTAAAAATCATCATTCTGAGCCAGGATTTAGCTCAGTGGTGCTGCCACCTGCCTCACAAGTGCAAGGACCCGAGTTCAATCCCTGGTACCAAAAAATAAATAAAAAAAATCATGCTGATCTTCTGAGCTCTGACAAGAATATCACATCAAGCTAGGCTTACAGCTTTCTAGGGCTGCTTCTCTGGCAGGCATATCCAAAACCTTCCAAACTCCTTCCACAAACCAGTTCCAGAGGCTTCTGAACCACATGGTTGGGTAGGATCACAGCAACAACCCCACCTCTCTCATAATGCCTGTCTTCCCCATTGCTTGGACACAATACCCAACACTCAACCTAAAGGAGGTTCACAATTTATAGAGGTTTCAGTCCATAGCTGGCTCAGGGCCCGGCAGCATGGTAGAGGAGATACAACTCATGACTTCATGATGGGAAGCAACAATCAAGGAGGAAAGGATACACCCAGGCCACAACCCCGGTGACACTTCCAATGAGGCTTTATCTCTATATCACATTTAGCTATAAACCCATCAGTGAACTAATTAATCCACTGATGTGTACCACAACCCCATGATCTAATCACCTCCCAAAAGCTGCACCTATGAGCATATGAAGCTTTGGGGTGACATATAGATATAAACTGTAACAATGACCATCATCAGGCCTGTGGCCAACTCACCTTAAGCCCCGATACCCTCTGTTCTCAGCCTGCTGGAGTATGGCAAGCCAAAATAAGATTTGAGGAGCCATGAAGTCTCACTACCCAGGAACTCTGAACCTGGATCTACCATCGAGGGCCCAAACCATTGAGTACCAGCCATTTCTG